CATGGGGGAAAACTGTTTATATCTCCACAATTCAGCACTACACAGTTCAGGCTTCAGATCAGAGGTCTCCATCCGTCCCTCCAGCAGCAGAAGCCAGACACACACTTTGATAAAGGTTCCAGAGATCCTCTGTTTACACTAAACCACATGTTTACCTCCTTATTAGGCCCGTGTCCGTCCTGACCGGAGGTTTCAGGGGACAGTCCAGTGTCTCTAATAGATCATCTGGTTCCCAAACACTCTTACAGCATTCATCCGTCGTGCGTGTGTGGAGACATTCTCCATTAACACTGTTCAGAGCGGCGAGATAAGCTCCAAACTAGGCTTTATTCTCATAAAACTAAACATTTCTCTCTTATATTTTTTGCCGGGGGTGAACGAGCTTGATGGTTCATCAGAGCTCGTTTAAGGTTCGAGATCTGATCCAGAGACTCACGAGGACCCAGTTTCTGAATTAACTAGCTTTACATGTCGTAGTTTAATCAGGACGGGTCACTTTATTGTCCAGCTTCGATTTGTGTTTAATGCTGTTTTACTTTTTTTTTTAATCAAAGGTGAAAAAACATTCTTTTCAACAACATCAAGAGCAGATAAAGCATATTTACAATGACATTTTCACACGTGTTAGTTTAAATCTGTACGTTCTTCTGTCCTGAACCCATTACAGTAGCTCTGCGTCAACAACAAGAAGCAGATTCCGGTCAGAAACACTGGGAATAACTGATATAAAAGCTACCATCAGCTGTTTAAGCAGCCGGTTAGTGCTCACACAACACCAGTTATCTGTGTTTATCTGCATTTGTGCTGAACTGAGACCTCCAATCACACACATAAACCAATTACCTTTAACTGCGGTTTGCATCGATGAGCAATCTGATGAGTATAGTTGACCAAAAACCAGATATGTAGATCATGCTGTAGTTTTACACCCAAAATGAGCGACTGGTGATGTGAGGATAAACACTGCGCAGAAGCTCATCAGCGCCATTAACAGCCACCGGTATTGTTGGATGGAGCAACGTTTTCCTAAACGTTTTGGTTGCACAATATAATCTTTCATAGAGAAAATAGAGTTTATTTTGGGAAATGTTTCCACAATGTCAACATTCTTCAAAATATCTTCTTTAGTGTTCAAGAGAAGACTCACACAGATTTGGAGCGACACGAGGGAGAGTAAGTGATGACAGCATGATCATTAGTAGGTGAGTTATCACTCTGAAACACTCTAAAGTAAGTACTGTGGCTGTAACTTGTGTAAACACACACACACACACACACAGGACACACCCTCGTACTGTAAAGCATCAGGTGACTAATAGTTCCCGCTCACATAGCGATGCTCAGCTCAGATCACGGCAGTAACTCGCACCGCCTCCGCGATCAAACTCCAATCATTAACTCGCAGCAGAGCCTCAGACACGAGCCAAGGAAGAGTCGCTCAAGCAGAGACTAACTGAGCTGAGACGCTCTGATCTTCATCATGAAGCATTCACAGACTTTCTGCTTCAAGTGGAACGCTGTGATTCTGTGCTCTGTGAGTCTGATGATTAACGGTGCAGATAAGCAGCACTAAAGCCAATAAGAGAGCGACCGGCGTCATGGAGGAGAACGAGGAAGTGCAGAGAGACTGGAAATCACTGGAGCCGAATCACGAGGTGAAGATCTTCCTCACGGTGCTGTACAGCCTCATCCTCATCCTCGGCATCCTGGGAAACAGCGTCACCATCCACGTGTCTCAGCGGCTGCAGCGCAGCGGATACCTGCAGAAGAGCGTGACGGATCACATGCTGAGTCTGGCCTGCTCTGACCTGCTGGTGCTGTTGATCGGGATGCCCGTGGAGCTCTACAGCGCCGTCTGGTTCCCCTTCTCGTCCTCGTCCGGCGACGCCGCCTGCAGGATCTACAGCTTTCTGTTCGAGGCCTGCAGCTACGCCACCGTCCTCAACATCGCCTCGCTGAGCTTCGAGCGCTACCTGGCCATCTGCCACCCGTTCCGCTATAAAGCGCTGTCGGGACGGCGCTCCACGGCACTGCTGCTGGGGGCCTGGATCTGCTCGGTTGTCGTGGCTCTGCCACTGCTCGTGGCCACAGGAACCGAGGGCTTGGCCCCCGAGGGCCGGCAGGGGCCCGTACAGAACCTGACCTTCTGCACTAATCTGAGCCAGCACTGGGTCATGTACCGCACCAGCATCTTCACCGCGTTCGCGCTCTATCTGCTCGTTCTGAGCGCTGTGGCCTTCATGTGCAGAGCCATGATTGCTGTTCTGCGGGCCCCGATGGGACCCAACGAGTCCGGAGCCAGCGGAGCTGCACACAGCGTCCCCAAACACGAGAGCACCCGGCTGAAAGCGGCCCGCAAGCAGACTATCCTCTTCCTCGGTAGGACACCGTTCTTTATCTTGCATGTGCGTCTGCTCTCGAGTCTCGGCTTGACTTCACAAGACTCGATTCCTGCTGAAAAAGGCTCACCTTTACCCTGACCCAGCCTTACACAAACATGCACCCAAGCCTTAACACGTCCTCTCTGTCACCTCTATAAAGTCCTCTGAGACTCTTAGAAACCATTGAAAGCAGCACTCAGGAGAAAACAAATTGCACTTCTGTAATGTACTTAAAGTAATTTTGTACTTAATATAAAAAAAAAATTATTTACTACTTCTTAAGATAATCTTAAGAACATCTAATTGCACCCAACTGTGCTACGTCATGAATATGAACTAAAATGTATTTTAAAGGTGGCCTATTATGCCCCTTTTTACAAGATGTAAAATAAGTCTCTAATGTCCCCAGAGTGTATATGTGACGTTTTAGCTCAAAATACACACAGATAATTTTTTATAGCTTGTTAAAATTGCCACTTTTAGGGTATTAACCAAAAAGCGCCGTTTTTGTGTGTGTCCCTTTCAATGCAAATGAGCTGGTGCTCCGGCCCCCTTTCAGAAGAGGGCGGAGCTTCAAGAGCTCAAGCTCCGCATACAAACAAACATTCCACTATTAGTACAATACTCGCTTTAAAAGTCAGCCATCTGATCGTACTGTGCGTAATAAATGATCGTTTATGAATTACACAGACGGGGAGCACGGCGCGATAAAAATAACGACAGCTGGTCTCATTGTGCCTTAGCTGCTATCACAAACTTTATAAGTCCCGCTTGTGATTATGAGCTCGACTAATTCAAGCGGTTGACTTCACATTGCTTTCATATGCAGTTTTTAACTAGCACATTCATATTTATGATCATTCTTGAAGCAGCATCAGTGCAAACAGGCATACAGCCAACCTACTGCACTACCTGACCCTAACTGATGGACAAACCACTGGAGAACAATGCAGACCATTGAAGACCACTGTAGAACACTACAGACCGCTGCAGACCACTTCAGAACACTTCAGACCACTGTAGAACACTGCAGACCACTTCCGACCACTTCAGACCACTTCAGACCACTGCAGAACACTACAGACCACTGCAGAACACTACAGACCACTGTAGAACACTCCAGACCAATGTACCAATGTAGAACACTTCAGACCAATGTAGAACACTTCAGACCAATGTAGAACACTGCAGAACACTTCAGACCACTTCAGAAAACTCCAGACCACTTCAGAACACTTCAGACCACTGTAGAACACTGCAGACCACTGTAGAAGACTTCAGACCACTGCAGAACACTTCAGACCACTGTAGAACACTTCAGACCACTGTAGACCACTTCAGAACACTGCAGACCACTGTAGACCACTTCAGAACACTACAGACCACTGTAGAACACTTCAGACCACTGCAGAACACTTCAGACCAATGTAGAACACTGCAGAACACTTCAGACCACTTCAGAAAACTCTAGACCACTTCAGAACACTTCAGACCACTGTAGAACACT